GGGGGGGCGGCTTGGTGCCTGGCTTGCCGTCATACGACGCCTAAAGCACTAGAGGGCTCTGCAAGCCCCCGCCATGCCCGCCCCACTCACGCCGGGTAGGTGGCGTGGTAGTACTCCAGGCAGGTGCGCAGGTCCATGCCAAAGACGGGGAAGTAGTCCTCTGGAAACGAGTGGGGCACGTCGATCCCCGTCACCTGCACGTGGGGATGCAGCGCAGGTCGGGTGGTTGGGTGGATGTGTCATCGATGAGATCAGTCTTGCACTGCTCAGGCACGGCTTCCCTTCCTGCTGCGGGGCGGGTGCCTGAAACCAATCTGCGACGCTGCGGCCAGGCCAGCAGCCAGCCCCGATCGGCGCTGGCGTGCAGGCAGGGTGCATGGCGAGGAGTGAAGCAGCATGACAGCAACCCCCGATTCCCCCCTGTTTGGGTACCTGCTTCACCGCCAGCCGGAGGGACTCGCAGCTGGGCCGCTCCGAGTCCACCATGACCCCGTCGCAGTCCAGGATCAGATGCGTGAAGGCAGGAAAGGACGGCAGAGATGCGGGCGGGCCGATTGCCGCCGTCGCCCCGCCGGCTGGTGTGGGCCTGACCCCGGTCCCCAGCCCGCCTTCCAGCGCAGCGGCCGTGTCGGCCGCGCCGGTGCTCTCACCATCGCCGCTGGCACCAGCCGATGCCTGCGCCGGGCCAGGAATTGCATCCGTGGCAGCGCCAGGGCCGGCATCCCCGCCGTCGCCTGTGTTCACCCCAGCACCTCCGCCGGCATCAGCGGCCTCGTTCCCTTCTTGTCTGGCCCCGCCCACCACAGGCTGCCTCCGGGCCAGCAGGCGCGGGACGGCGCGGGCGATGGGCGCCGCCCGCTCCCGGGCCAGGGGCGCCTCAGTGTCGATCCTGGAGCGGTGCAGCTGGAAAGCGGGGACCACCCACCGCCCCGAGGCGCTCTGCATCCCTGCCCAGTTGTAGGTGCCCAAGCGGCTGCCACAGCGCGGGCAGTACAGCTTGCCCTGCGTCGCGCCGTCCCGCAGCGCAGGCTCCATCCACGCCAGCGGCTCCACCCAGAGCGAGGGCTCGGCCGTAGCGCCGCCGCCCGCGCCCAGTCTGTCGCGTTTGCGCCACGCAAACGCCGCCGGCCCGGGGCCCGCCTCGACCTCCAGGCAATTGCCGCCGCGGGCCAGCGCCGCGCGGCACCGCCGGCAGCGGTGCAGCGCCTCCTTGGTAGAGGACGAGGCGCCCGAATCGACGTCGGCCAGGCCCGCGCAGTCCAGCGCCCCGGTCTCGGCGAAGGCCAGCGCGGCCTGGTAGGCCCGGAACTCCCTGAATCCCGCGTTGCCGGGGTCGAGCCGGCAGCCCATGAGGCCGAACAGCGCCAGCTGCTCCAGGAAGCCGGGGTTGGGCTGCGCGGCCGGGTGCGCGTGTCGCACGGCCTCCAGCGCCGCCGCGTCGTCCAGGCCGGCGCTGGCCATCAGGTGGGCCACCGCGATCTGGGTGGCGAGTCGGGGAGGATAACACAAAAGACTCCCGTGCAGCGCAGCAGCGGGTGGGGCCTCCCTGATACCCCTATGCAACCCGCCTGGACAACACAAAGAGGCAGGCGCAGAGGTCACCACCCCCTTCGCCATTCCACGCGTCGCACCGCGGCACTGCGAGAGACGCCTTGGGCGCAGCGCACGAGCACACTCCCGCCCCCCTGCACCGCCCCCTGGATGAAGGCGGTGGCGTCGGGGAGGAGGACCAACAGATTTGCTGTGGGGGAATCCTCCAAGTCCAGCCACAGGCAGCGGCTGGGGACCAGGCCCAGGTCATCTTGTGCACCGTTCAGAGCGGTCTTGTTGGTGGGGGAGACACGTGGTAGGGAGGTTTCCTCGCAATAGCAGCATCATAGGGCAGGAGCAGTATACCACTCCAGCTGCGATGGCTCCAGCCACCCTGCTTACCACCTCGCCAGACTCACCACCACATGGGAGATGCCCAGGGCATCGATGTCCTTGATGCTGCCAGCGCCTCCCACCCACACCCCTGCGCCAGGCGAATCGCTGCACACGTCAATCTCATGCAATGGTCATATCAGTTCTGGTGAGCAGGTCCAACGTGATCCCCCACGCACCTGGGGTGATCTGAACGGGAGTGACGGCAGCCATCGTGGTCGCCTTAAGGTCCTCGAGGGGGAGCAGACGGGGCATCCAGAATCGACGCTACAAACCTAGAAAGAGCATGCAGGTTTTGAACAAGGCCATGTCCGTCTGCAGAGAAGCAGCGTTGCCTGGATCTGTCGAGGTAGGGGTGTTGGGAGCGCTGGGAATCTGTGTCGCACCCCATCAGGCGCGACCCTTTCTGCCTAATGCTTACAATGGATCGGGAAGAGCAGTGCTGGATACAGAGAAGGTGTCAAAAAGACATCCGTGCATGGGAGAGTCATGTTGAAGTTTTTGTGGCTTGGCGCCAGTCATTGGGGTCAGGCAGCGCTCCCACGCTATCCAAGCATTGGGTTGGTCGCGTTGGGTGCGACCAAGCTGGCGATCTGTGCAAGAAATTGCTGCCGCTGCAGCCTGATGGGCGAGACGGAGGGTGTCGCGGTGAGGTTTCTGTACAGTCCTGCGCCGCAGAGTGCGGCCGCCATGATTCCCAGGAGGACCAGCCGCCGGCGGCGGGTGGGAGCGTTCTTCCCCAGCCCCTGCGTCATCCAGCCCAAGTTCTGGAAGGAAGCGCCCGAGATGGGGAAGAGCGTTATTGGGATGGGGTTTGGAGGCCCTATGAAGCAGTGCACCGTTAAGACCACAGGAGCGCATGTGGGAGATGGAGCCTGACACATCCCACACGCGGCAAACGGCACCCAGGTCGGCCAGACGCGATCTCCTCCGGCCAGGGCGACCTTGCTGACACGAGGAAATCACCGCCTCCACCGCCCCCACCCACCTGTGCAAGGGTGGCCAGCATGGTCCCCTGGCTGAGGGTGTCCAGCACGCCAGAGTAGAGGGAGACAGACAGCAGGATGAGGCCGACACCCAGCAGGAACCAGTAGCTTGGCCACTGCACGGGAGGGAAGGAGGGAAGGGGGGTGAAGGAGGGTGGGTGCACACAACTGCAGCTGGGTGCGCATGAGGTGGGTTAGGGTGTATGGTTTGGTTAAGGGGGCCATGGCCAGGGCTCGCCGGAGTGCCCGTGCAGGGAGGGCAAGTGAAGGTTCACATGGAGGTGATGCTGACTGCAAGCCAGCCATCTGCAGTGCAGCAGCATTCTGAGTTGGCCCCATGTCGATGAAGGAGGGCAATACACAACACACCCTGCCATCCCACCCTGATCATGAGGCGAAGCTGCATACGCCCTCACCATCCCCCCAGTTTTGTGCCTCCCGAGCCACTTTACTCCCTCGCGGCCATGCACGACACTCCAGCCCAACCGCCCCTCGGACCCCTCCCCACCGACGTCCTCCCACACCCCTTCACCCCCTCCCTCCACTGTTTGCTCGCCTGTCCAAACAAGGGAATGGCCAGTGCCACGGTGAGCACCACGGAGGCGGCCAGTGCAAAGTTCTTGATGATGTTGTCGCAGTGCTTGACCACCGCGCCCATGGCCAGGCCGCCGAAGACTTGCAGCCCCACCACGGACCAGGTCGCGGCATCGAAGCCGGTCAGCGGGCCGCGCGCCGCGAGCGCGCGCCCGTCCCGCGCCGCCGCCACCGCCAGGCTGAGCGGCAGGCCAAAGGCGCCGAGCTGCACGTTGCGCACCGTCAGCGCCGCGCCGCGCCCGCCCTTGAGGTGCTTCTCAAAGTGCACGCCCGCGTAGGCGGAGCTGAGCCCCGAGGCGGCGCAGGCCAGGCTCCCCGCCACCCACTCGGCGCGCGCCGCGCCGGGGGGGCGCTCCGCCGGGGTCGCATCGGCTGCGCCCCGGGTCAGCGTGACCAGCACCACACCCGCGGCCAGGGCGGGGATGGAGGCCCACTGTGCGGGACGCAGGCGCTGGCCCAGCAGCAGCCAGGCCAGGGCTGCGGTGGGCACTAGCTTGAAGCTCTGGTTGAAGACCTGGAAGGACACGGCGTCCAGCCGCGAGGCGGCGTACACCAGCAGCAGCTGCGGGGGGGGAGGCAGCGAGGGGTAGGTTCATGAGGGGTTCAAGGGGAATCTCTATGGGTGGCGCCATGGCCAATGGCGGGATAGCGGGCAATGGCAAGAGACCCCTGGGCCATGGAAGTGGCAAGATGGGGAAAGGCGGCATGGCGTGGGGACTTGTTATTTCCAAGGGTCATGGTTCCCTGCCCCATCCTGCCTGAAGCCCCGCCCGACCACCTGTTGCATAACGAAACAGCAAGCCGGCACGGCCATGGGGAGCCCGTTGCGGAGGGTGGAGGCCAGCGCCGTCCCGAGGTGCTGCCGCCTGCTGTGCGCGGAGGCCAGCACCGCCCCCGTGCACAGCGCCAGCTTCAGCCCCTCCGTCAGCACCACTGCATGAATGTGGGGTATCCATGTGCATGGTAGAACCATGGCAGCGGTATAATAGCGGCGGCGGGTCGGCACGGTGCAACCTCGCAACCGCCTCAGGGCTGGTGCCGCCCCCCCTCCATCCCCCACCAAGCCTTACAGCAACAGGTGTCACGGACACCCGTGACCTCAGGACGCACCGGAGACAGAGGCCAGGTACGGCGTGCCGCTCTTGACCCGGGAGAGGCGCAGCATGATGGACAGGGCCGTGGACTGGGCGATGAGCAGCACCATTGAGACCACCGCCTGCCACGTCCACCTGTGGCTCGGCGCTGGCGCGTCAAGGACCTGAACCTTGGCCTCCATGACCTGTACCGGCACTCAACACTCGTCCATGCGCGCTTTCGCAGGCTCCGCGGCCTCCGTGCCCGCTGAGCGTGCCTGGTGCAGGTGACGCCCTGTGCACATAGCTACCGCCTCGATCCGATGCGATGTCTGTCCATCTCCACAAACAAAACAAAACTTAATATCGGATCTTCAAAGATGTTGGGGAGTGCAAGTGCCAGTGCCTCCTGCTCCGCATCGTCGTAATCGGACATGCCCCGGCATTCCCATGCGAACATCAGAGCTTCCTTTCCTCCCGAATGCTCATGGCACACCGACCGTGCGCTTACAAAATTACGCAAAACCGGCAAAGGCGAGGTACAGCGCAATCTGGCACATGGCATTCTCAACAATACTTATCTCGCCCCATTTACAAGGTTGTCAGGACTGGGCCGCGCCACTAGGATAATTTGCTGCGGTTGGTCCCCGACTCACGACAGGGGTCCCCATGCGAAGGACCTGACGCCGATACAGCCCTTGAACGAATCCACTGCAAGTAATGACGCAATCTAACATCACTGCCCAATCCCTGCCGTCGGAAGCCGAGTCGCCACAAAGTGCTCTCGGCGAGTCCCCTGCGGCACCTGTGAAAGGTGAGACATGCGGCGTCGGCTCGCCCCTGATCGCCTGTATATCAAGGACTCGGGCTTATTGTATCATCCTCATACATTCAGGCGAGTCATTTGCAAGCCTCAGCGAGCTGTCTGCCGAGGGGCTGCCACTTCCCCTGGAGGTCGCCGAAGAAAGGCTGGCCGCCATGGGCGCACACAAGGTCTTCGAGAAGGTGGGCCTCAAGGGGGATGGGGCTTGCAACCTAGATGTGAGCATCATACACTGGCTACATTGCTCTGGATGCCGATTGTGAAGGAGAGTCACGCTGACGCCCCAGCAAATGCATCCGCGCTCTCCCGTATCCCCCTCCCCCCCCTGCTCTCCCTTGCATGGGCGATGTAGACCCTCACGCCCACCGATGCTACGCCCGCCGGCCTCGGTCGCATAGTCATCCCAAAGGTGAGGGTCACGTGGCTGTGCTCGTGTTTCCCACGTCTGTGCCTGCAATGTTTGATGTGGGGATGCTCCTTGCACCCCGGGCTGGTTGATGCAGCCAAGAGGGCGGATGCCGGCTCGGGAGCTCCGCCGACGCATCGCCGCGAGCTCACCCCCCCACCCCTGCCCCTCCTCCCCTGTCGACTCATCGCAGCGCTACGCCGAGTCCTGCTTCCCCTCCATCCCGGACCAGACCCCCGTCTCCCTGGAGGTGCACGATGCCGCCTGCCCGGGCATGGTCCACTCCCTGCGCATGCGCTACTGGAGCAACAACCGCGGCCGGATGTACCTGCTGGAGGAGACCGCGCCCATGGTCGCCCTGCACCGCCTCACGGTGCGCACCCGGGTGTTTGTCACATGCTGGGGCTCGGGGCGAGCGCCCGGGCAGGGGGCCGGGCGTGGCGGGCCTCGCGCTCGGTCTGGGCATATTCCCATCGGACGTCCATCGTCCTGCTGGCCCGTGGCATCCAACCCGCGCGCACGATGCCCACCCTGCCCTGCCCTCCCTTCACCCCCGCTCCAGGTGGGAGACGTGGTCGTCTTTGGGCAGGCCAAGGACGGCAGGCTGTGCGTGGTCGGGCGCAAGGGCCTGCCGACAGACCGCATGCGGCGCCGGGTGTCGTCCCCCGTGCCCCCCCGGCCCGCAGTCCCCAGCCCCACCGGGGACAAACGGGCGCATGGCGTGGGTTCAGGCAGCCGGGGGCTGTCCTCCAAGCGTCAGGCGACCAGGAAGGTGAGGGCCTGGGGCCCCATTGGGCGGCCCTCGTCATCACTGGGGCATGAGCAGGCAGTGCACCAGGCGATCAGGTAAATGTAATCTTCAGCCGGGCTCACTTCATCCCCCCTGGACCCCCGTCCTCCTTCCCACTTCCAGATGAACTCCCTGTATGACTACTGGGCCGGCTTCTCTCTGCCGCCGCGCACCGACGGCGTGTTTCGTGCTGTGTATGGCGGAGCGATGGGCGGACCCCAGGACAACAAGGCAAGACGGTTCCTGGAAGTCACACATGTGTGGGGTCGTTGGTGGGGAACTTGGGATGCAGTTTGACTCGGTCAAGGTCACCACTGAGCCTGCCCTGCTACCTCTGCAGGTGTCGGCTCAGCATGGAGCCTGGTCCGTGACCGTTTCCGTCGCCGACGAAGTGTTCCAGGTGGGAAGACGGAGGAAAGGATTGGCACTCTGATGTGTGACTCTGACTGTCCGGTAGTTGGTCTCGGCTGTCACCCACCCCGGGAGGTCCCACCTGCCTGCCGCCTCGCTCCTCTCAGGCATTCTTCGAGGACTACGACACGGCCTGTGCCCAGTTCAACGCCTCTGTCCAGGGCACATGAGGGCTCCGCGGCGGTCCCCCGCTCTCTACAAAAGCCGATGCGGCGCTGCTCCACAGGTGGTGGCTCGTGCAGCCACCCGCCATCCTCCAAATGAATCACTCCAGACATGAACCTTCCAGACAGCGCAGCACGGGCCACCCACACCGCAATGCAGCCGCGCTGCCCATAATAGTACGCCCTACGAGCTAGCCTTTTCCCAGCCACCCCCAACGAACAAACGCGCACCTACTCTCAAGCCCACTCCCAGGTCGCTCGTCTTAGGAGCATCTTGTGGCACGTACCTAGAACGTTATCTTGCTCCATGTCCCCTTCAAGCGAAGGACCCAAATGCACCCCTTGTCTCTAATACATCCGCTGGCGTGTCGTCTCCCCTGCCAGCCTGCTTGAAATCGAATCCTTGACATTCAGTTGCAGAGCTTCTGCCCCTGCACTGCAAGATCCGAACGGTCACGGTATACAGTTCAGAGTCGCAAGACGTCAAGTCAACAGGGCTGGGGTTCATGTGTGTGTGTATGTGCAATGGACAGGTCACGCAGGAACTTGCCAGGCGCTTTCTCAGTGATGCAGAGCGCCCGTCACGTTGGCTGGTCACCGGGAGAGGACTCAATCCGAGTCGTACGCTGCGAGGAGTGAGACCAGGCCACTTGCATCCCCGGCCTCCCCCTGACCGGGGTCAGACCCTTCTGTCCTCGCTTGACCTCCGTCTTCCCCCTTTCCTCCTCCCCCTCCTGTCAGCTCGGCCAGCTCCTCGGAGGTCAGGTATCTGGAGATGTCATCCTCGCCAGCCTCGGCGGCGCCCTCGTGGCCTGCGGAGCCCTGGGGCCCATGCAGTGCGTCGCTCGCCCCGTCGGGGGCTTGGTCCCTGTCCTGGTAGTAGTACTCGTCCCAGCCGCTGTAACCTGGCGGCGGGCTGTCACCATACTGGTCGCTCGTGTCTGCATGATGGGTGAATGGAAAGGTCGAAAGTGTTGAAGGGAGGGGGGAGAGGGGGGTTACAGTGGGTTGCGGATGCGAGGGAGGCACATAAGAATGCAGGCACCAGGATGAGTGAAGTAAGTATCACGGCGGATGGCCCAGGCGAATCGCTTCGGCCTGCACCCTGCTCTCTTCCAATCGACAGGGACCAACGTGTAACAAGCTCCCCACCATGGCAGGGATGCATACTGCAAGGAACAAGGAAATAGCCGGCGCTTGTCCCCTAGACCGCCCGCCCGACCTCTTCCACACCCATCCACCCTTGCTGACTTCTCCGCCGCCCACCTGGGTATGCTGCTGAGGCCTCACCCGGCTTCCACATGGCCGCCAGGTGCAGCTGCTGGAGCCTGGCGCGCTTCGCCACCGGGTCTGCAGTGTTGACGGCCTGCGGATTGGATGGGGGTGTCGGGCCGGGTGTCGGGCCGGGAGTTTGAGGGAGGGGGTGCAGCAGAAGTCGACAATCAGTCGCCATGGCATGGTCCCTTCCCATATTTGCCTCATACGTCCACTGAGGCGGCGCTGGTGATCCCCGGGCTCATGCATCGTGGGTGGGGAGTGGGTGTCCCCTTGATGCAGGGCGGTGCTCCCGTCCTCCTCGGCCCTCCAGGAGCCTCGTGACGGGGCACTCTTGCCCAAGACCCCAGCGCACCTGCACATACGCGTCGCGCATGGCCTCCTCACGCTCGCGCTGCACCCTCCTGGCCGCCCGCGGGTTGGGGTCGTCGTTGGCCCACCGAACGTCCAGCACCTCAGCGCCATGCACACCTGGAAGCAGGATGTGTTTGAGGGGGGTTGAGCTTGAAGCAGGGCAGGCGCTGGCCAGGCTGCAGCATCATGGCCCGGGCCGTGCCAGGGAGGCGCCGACTGGCCGCCGCGGTGTCCTGGAAGCCCGGCTTGCGTCAGGCAGGGGTGTGCAGAACCGCGTCTCGAGCGGCCACAATCCACGTGCACGCACTGCAAAGGTCGTACCGCACCTGGTGAATGCTGAGCGCCGGCCTCAAGACACCGGTGCCCCATGCCCTCCCCCTCCCCCACCCTCCTTCTCTACCCTCCCCCACCCCCTTCTCAACCCTCCCCCACCCCCCTTCTCACAAGCCCCACCCCGTTCTCACGAGCCCCACACCTGCCAGGCTCTGCTGATGCATAGCAGCCTTGGCGAACTCGGCGCTGCTGCGCCAGCGGAAGCGCACGAAGGCCAGGGTCTTGGCCGCCGCCACGTGAACGTCCTCCACAGGGCCCCACGCCCCAAACCCGGCACGCACCGCAGCATGCATGGCGCTGGGTTCCACGCCGGCGCCGCCGTAGTTGACGTACAGCGTCCGGCACTCGCGCTCGTAGGAGCCGGTGCCACGCTTGCGGCCGTCGCGCGACGCCGGGTTGCGGTCGCGGCCGAAGATGTCCACGGCGTGGTCGCGCGCGTGCCGCGCCTCCATGCCCTCATCCGGGAGGCGGTGCAGGTAGTTGCACTCGGCGCCGTGGTGGCACAGGCCCCTGCTGTCGAGATTGTTGTGGGATCCAAGGGTGGGCGCCGAGACGGGCAACAGGTATGGAGCAGGGATTGTACCCCTTCCCCACACGTAATCGTCGAATGTGCCCACTCCACAACCCCCCCCCCCCTCACTCAGGGCCCCACCCACCTGGCAAAGTAGAGGCAGCAGTAGGAGGCGCCAGACCCCTCCCCCCTGGTCCAGCCCTGGTCGGTCTCGGGGTGGCACTTGTACTTGGATGCCACCCTGGGCCCCTTCTCCCGCGCGCCATGGCCAGCAAGCCGGCGCCCCGTCCAAATGTTCACGGTGCCCGCGGGGTGCTTCTCCTCACGACCGGTCACTGCCTCATGGACCTGCGGGAGGAGGCCATGTGCATTACAAGTCATGGATGTGGACGGGAACAGCAGCCTGGCCTAATATCCATGCAATGCTGGAGGCGCACCTGTGCTCGGGCCAGCCTCCTCGGGGCTGTGGCTGTGAGCTCCATGGCCGAGGACTTGTGTCAAGGCTCACATGGTCATTTGGAATCGACAGTGAATTAGGAGAATCTCGAACGGCCATCACTGTGCCTCGCATGGTCGCCTTGGCGCCCTCACCATCGTCACCATCCGTGTGTCGCGCACTTTCGACAAACGACACCTGGAACCCTTGTCCGGCACGCAGATCACGAGCATGGCTCCACGCCTTCACTGTGACTGAAGCCACCGATGACTGTTTCTGACTGAAATAGCGAGGTCACAACAGGCAATTGCTCTGGCTTTTCCACAACCATCCACGCTGCGTGGGTTGGGCAGCGCGTGAGCTCGTTCCACCACCTCCTGCCCTGTTTGCACCCCTTCCGCCCCATGTCGGTCTGAAAGTATGGCCGATCGATCCGATGACGGCTTTTCCCGCATGCCCAGCCTGCACCAATCGTTCCGGGAGGCGGGGGATTGGTTCAAGGAGCTCGGTCGTACCTTGGCATTCAGTGGCGAGCCCTTCCAAAGCACGTCCCTCTCGCGACCCTCCTTCGACCGCCCAATACCTCGCACCGGAAATTTGACCGACAAGCAACAGGTTTGTGGGGTCGAAGCTGGAGGTTGATGTGCTAATGGTGCGGGTGACACTCCTCGCTTCACGGATGGTTGTGCTGGGGGGTTGCACAGGCAGGTTCTGTGCCCCTCACATCAGCCCTGCAGCAGCCAGCACACCTGGCATTATGTGCCCAACCGTACAACATGCCGATCACTGTCGTTATAAACGCCTTAAAACCCCTGCCCCTGCCCCAGATTGTCGCTGGGGTGCTGCTGAAATATGTCAACTTGGGGGCTGGATGGCGGCATCGTCTGTTTGTCCTGGAGGATGGTGTGCTTCGGTACTACAAGGTGAGGCTGGGCAGGGGCAGGATATACGATGGGCACATGGCTCTCAAGCAGATGATTGCACGAGATCTTCTTCTGTGGATAGAGTGGTAGTGTCCCTGCTGATGCACAAAAGCCCATCCCCCCCTCAGATCTTTGGCCCTGCTGCCATCAAGATCCACATGCTTCTGGACTCCCTGCGAGCCAAGGGAGAGATCTTCCTGGTCGGTGCTGAAGTGAGCATGCTAGAGAACCGCGATCGGAGGTGAGGCATGGGAAGGGGGTGGTGGATGGTCGTGTCCATGCGCTGTGGAGGGAACTGGGTCGCTGCGCTGGAGCCCTGCAAGTAGGTTGGGATGCAGCTGCCCTCTGGACTGTGTTTTGCCCTTCATAATATTCTGGAGAGGGACAGGTTGACAGTGACCCAGCCCTCATGTAATCTCACCTCCATTGCATGCTTCCCCATGAAGCAGGAGCAGCGCCGGAGGGAAGCAGGGGTCGGGCAGTGGCCGCCTGCCCCCTGCACAGGGCGAGATCCATCTCCAGGTGGCTGGGGTGCGGGAGTCCGCAGCCGACTACCGCAAGTTCTACATCCACACCGGCATGCAGACGGTGGCGCTGCGAGCCGAGTCTACGTGAGGAAAGGGGAGGAAGGGGAATGAGAGGGGGAGGAGGAGCGAGCAAGTGTGAGTGCCCTGTCTATGACCGGCATTCTCCTGGACCGGGGTTCACTTGGAAGAGATCGGGCCGGCGTGGCGTGGCTTCAAGACCCAAAGCCTCCGAGTCAGTGCTCGTGGGGCCATGCTCTGCGTCACGTGCTCGCTCTCACACTCCCTCTGGCAGGGAGGATCGCTGGGTTTGGAGCGAAGCGCTGCGGGCTGCCAAGGGAGCCTGGCAAGGGCTCACTCCCTCGGAGGCGGGCGCTTTGGCACGAGACAATGAGGACAGGTGCGTTCCAGCTCCTGTGCCTGGTTGGGCGGGGCATGTCTGCTGGGGAGATGGGTGGGGCCCAAGCTCTGATCCCCAGCCTGGCGGTGCGCAGGGGAAGCACGGCCCTGTGGTTGGCAGGGCATGGGCGCCTGGGTTGGGGCCTTGGCTGCAGAAGGGCCTCCACCCATGGCACGGAGCACAGCGCTGGGGCTTCATCCCTCTCCAACAATTGCTGCTGTGTGCCCTGCAGGATCCTCTCTGGCGACGACGTCTTCCTGCAGTACCTTTCCACCGTCGAAGATAATCTTGTGTCCAGGAATGTGGACTCTGCCGCCAGGGCCTACGTCGCCGATTTGCTGGTCCAGGTGGGGGTCATTCTAGGAAGATGGGTTGGAGGGTGGGATCGTTCGTGGCACCCGGCCCCAGCCCTGGTTTGACGCACACTGAGTTCCACACCATCGCCGCATGGCATCGTGAAGGCCAGGGGGGTCATCATGTCTTTCAAGGGGTTTGTATCTGGCGGCGACTGGGCCAGGGCTGTAATACAGGGGCCCGGCATCCAGCGCTTGTACTCAAAGCGCACGGCGGGGCGCGCTGCTGCCGCTGCATCAGGCAGTGCAGAGACCCAACGTCACCTCGACTCCACCCACTCCCCGCACAGGAGCACCAGAAGCTGCACCAGGTCTTGGTTGCAGAGGCAAACAAGCGCAGCTCTCTGCTGAAGAGGATCTACCAGCTGGAGGTGAATGAGCGGGGGAATGGGGGAGTCGACTTCCTGTGGCCCTGCAGCGGATGAGGCGGTATGAGCCTGGCAGCCGGAGGGTTTGGACCCGGGCTGCGGGCCTGCTTGGTAGCCCCTCTTGCGCTGAGCACACTCGAAGTACAGGGCCGCCGCACCGCGTCAGGTAGCCGCCAGGCTCAGCCCACACTCCGTGCCACGCAGAACGAGAAGCGGGAGCTGGAGACGGCCATCGTGGTGGAGGGGCGGCAGACCTCAGACAAACGGATATCACCCAGCGAATCTGCTTCTGGTGCGGCGATGGGATGGTGTTCACCGGCCTCCCTTGTCTGGGCCAGAGGAGGGAAGGTCGCCTGGGGTTTAGGGAGTGCAGCGTGGCAGCGCTGCAGATTCAGCTGTCTTCATCCCTGAGCGCGGCCTGAGGCGTGTCGGAAGCTGGGGGTCAGGCCTTCATGCATCATGCTTGGCAGATCCTGCAGCCGTGTGCTCGACAAGACGCTCATACGCCAATGTCCCTCTCCCTCCATCCTGTGCCAGTCGTGTCGGATGGGGAGGAGAGGGAGGAGGAACGCGTCAGCCACATCTTCTGTGCTGACGGCGGGGACGGCAACGAGACGGATGATGTGAGTGGCTCGGCGGTCAGGCTGCCTGCTGGGGTGTGGGGCTGTCTTGTGTGTCGATGTGTGGAGGAGGAGATCCACAGGTGCTCCCTGTCGTGGGTCGCGCGGGTGGAATTTCCAGGGTCATCGGGATGGGAAGTAGGACCTCCCACGCCGCAGTGGGGCAGAGGACCCTGGCGCAGGGCTCAGGGCACGCATGGGCGGGCTGCCCCTCGCTCGGTGGCCCTGCACATGCACGATCTCTGCCTGTGCACAGTCGGCAACGCCCAGCCCCCCGCCTCCCACCCCCGTCCATGTCTCGCAGGAGTTCTTCGACGTGGACGATGCCCAGGGCACTGCAGGGCGGCACTCGCGCGGCAACAGCCTGGCGAGCATGCTGACGCCCACCGGCTCCCTCCTGGACGGCCTCGATCTGGAGGCAGAGGTCTCCGCCAAGGAGCCGGGGTCGACAGAGGCCGGCGCCCTGGCCCCGGCTCCGGCCCAGCCTGCCTCCGCCGCGGCGGCGCCCGCTCGGTGGGAGCAGGGCACCCCCGGCGACCCGGCCTGGCTCCTCGCCGAGAAGGGTGAGAGCACACGTGAGGGCTGTGGCGTGCAGGGCATGCCCAGGCCGCCCTTCCCCCTGTACAGTGCTCTCAGCGATGAGGGTCTGCAGCCTTTTTTATCTTGTCTTGATCAGCGTCTGCTGCGCCGTCATACCTGCTGGGCCCCTCCCCCTCCTCCCATGGGCGCTGCTCGCCCGAGCTCACCCCCCCACCCCCACCCCTTGCCTGCAGCCAAGGGCATCCCGCGCCGCCGCGCCTCGCTACCTCCCCCCGCGCAGCAGGAGAAGACCGTGAGCCTCTGGTCCCTGATCAAGGGCATGGTGGGCAAGGACCTGTCCCGCGTCTGCCTGCCCGTGTACTTCAACGAGCCGCTGTCGGCGCTGCAGAAGAGCGCCGAGGACCTGGAGTACTCGGAGCTGCTGGACGCCGCGGCGGGCCTGCCCCGCGCCTCTGCGGACCGCCTGCTCTACGTCGCGGCCTTTGCGGTGTCAGGCTACTCCGGCACGGTGGGGCGCGCCGCCAAGCCCTTCAACCCGCTGCTGGGCGAGACGTACGAGCTGGTGCTGCCGGAGAAGGGGCTGCGCCTGGTGGCGGAGAAGGTGGTGCACCACCCCACCGTCCTCGTCATGCGCGCCGAGGGGCGGGCCTGGTGCCTGGACGCGGACGCGGAGGTGCGGTCCAAGTTCTGGGGCCGGTCCATCGAGCTGCGGCCCGAGGGCGTGCTGCGCGTGCGCTTCGCCGACGGCGACACCTACGTCTGGAGCAAGGTCACCACCAGCATCAACAACCTGGTGCTGGGCAAGATCTACGTCGACCACGGCGGCATCATGCGAGTGCGCGGCCTCGACTCGGGCCTCACCGCGCGCGTGCGCTTCAAGGAGACCGGCATCTTCGACCGCGACCCGCGCCAGGTGGGTGGGTGTGGGGTGGATGGGTTTTGGGGGGGG